CCAAGATTTCAATGCTCAAATACGTTGTGCACATTTTATTCAAATGGGTGATCTCTAGACTTCTCCTTTCTTTGAAGAACTTGAAAATAGTATGTGGTCTAGAATTTCTTATGATACTTGTACAAATCTTTTAACAAAAAACTTTCTAACTTTTGTAGCCACGTGTAATTTAAAAGGTCTCAATGGTATCTCTCTTGATCCCAACTTCCTTTATAATATGTGTTTCTCTTCTACAGGTGTTAGCACTATTGATTATCTTCTATCATCGATCGCTAGTAGCTCTCTTATTTCACAATTTGATATTCTACAACCTCAGCCATAATCATATCATGCACCTCTCTTATTTATTTTCTTGTTGTAAAAAAAAATCCCTCTCTCTCCATGCCATTCTGTTTTAGCCTCACCCAAGTTTTGTTTAGTTCATAGTAAAAAATTAACATCACATTCTACATTTTCAAAACCTTTTGATCTACACTTTATGGAGCCTTGATCCACATACTATGAATGAACAACTAGAAGAGTTGCTCAAAAACACTATTTCTAAATTCTTTTTGCGGCACAAGGATCAAAGAGCTAGGGATTTTTCTTGCAATGGATGGTTTCACTTTGATTGCAAGCGAGAATGAGATCAATTCACAAGTATTTGAATCTCCAAAGTCGGCTTATCTTCACAAGGCTTTACAAAAATTTGGTGAAGTGTAAGAAACGAGTTTTTTGAGGACGAAGCAAGAATCCTTGACAAAGAAGTTGATAGAGAATCCCAAATCTTTTTGGATACGGTTCGTAGAACGGTACTCCAAACCTACTTTTGATCCGAAGAGTTTGATTGACTTTGCTGAAAAGCTTTATTTTTTCCGTGATGCTGCATCAATGCCTTGTTATGAAGTAATATTTGGCTTATTTTTGAATCAAAGGTGATGAATCAAGTCAAAAAATTAGCAAATGATAAATCAGGGAATTTGGATGGTATCTTTATTGAACTTTTGAAATGGAAGGAGATGTTATTGAACCAATACTCGCTAATGCACTAGAGAATGCTGCTATGTATGATTTTCTTTCAACTAGGTGTTTACGGAAGATTGTTCCCATTCCTCAATCAAGAAGGAAGGAAGAAACTATCGCACTATCATGGTGAATGGTGTTTTTGCCAAGTTGTTTGGCAAATGAGTGGAATCAAAGTTGAGCACATGGACTGAACTCATTGAAAGAGACCGCGGTTTCAAGCAGGTTTTTGCCCTACATACAACACCATTGACCATATTTTGGCCTTGCGTGTTTTGTGAGAGATTATGGAAAAGCTTGTTTTGCGCCTTCATTGATTTTAAAAAAGCTTTTGACACTGTATCTTGTGATATATTATAAAAAAGTTCACAAATCATTGAATTACCATCAAATCTTCTAGCAGTTGTGAGCACATTATACCATTCTGTGCGAGCCAAGATCAACAATTCTCAAACTGAAGAGATTTTGAGTACCATTAGAATGATTCAAGGTTGTACTCTCTCTCCTACTCTATGTGGAGTTTTTATAAATGATATTGAAGAGTGGTTGGAGTCATGTGATAGTGAAGGTGTCAAGCTTAAAAAAATTGTTATTGAAGCTCTCTTGTATGCAGATGATGTCATATCACTAGCACGTGATGCAATTAGTTTACAAAAGCACATATACCCTTTACACTTTGCTAGCTTTTGTACCCAGAATCAAATGGAGGTAACTATAGAGAAATCTAAAGTCATGATAGTGGTCACTAGTGTAAAAGAAGTTTTACTTCTTTTACAAGTATCTACAATTAGAAGAGATGAAAAGTTATAAATATATAGGCATTGATATTTCTAATGATTATAGTTGGACACTTTGTGTGCAAAAGAGAGCAGAAGCTGGTTACAAAGCTCTATATTCATTGTTAAATCTTTGTAAAAGGTCTCATCTAGTGTCTTGGAGTCTTAAAAATTTTTTATTCAAAAGCTTAGTGTTACCGGTAGTATTATATGGAACCCAAGTGTGGTTATACATTTGTAAGAATACATTTGTATTCTTACAAATGTATTCTTATGTGGATACATATGTGTGGAGAGGATGCAAAAAATATTTTTACAAGAAGAATTGCATGTGAGAACCAAACTCCATATGCTATTCTTCTTGTGGAAACATGTTGTTTAAATTTAGAGGCTGAAGCTCTCTACTTGACCATCACTTACATTAGAAGGGTGAAATCTCTTGATGATTCTCCCCTTACTCTTCAAGCTTTGAGTGCCACATGTGCCAAAAGATGATTAGCGGATGTGATAATTCGGTCTTTGAGGTGGAACGTGAACGTATAAAGGAAGAGATTCATAACATTATTTGGAGAAAGCGCGACACCAAGATGCAATTTTTTCAACTTCATGTGAATCATATGCTTGTTTATTATGAATATCATTGATTACTTGTAGAAATCTCTACGTCCTTACGTCATATTATTGCTCAGCATAGAATTGTATCTCATAGGCTTGGAATTGAGAAAGTACGTCGACTTAATATTGATAAGAGTGAACTTATTTCTAGATTATGTGACGGTGTATACATTGAGTATGAAGAGCATGTATTTGTCACTTAATCTAGGTAGAAATACATTAGGCTTGCTCATCATATAGATGTGGAGAATTTTTATTCTTTATTAAAGTTAGTTCTTTTTTATTTGGGTTGTTGTATTAGGAACATTATTGGTTAACGTTCTAGTGCTCTTGGCACTAGCTAGGGAGATTGACCTTTGGGTTCTTTTACCTTGTTTGTGGTTTGCTTGTATTGTGTTTTTCAGCCTTTTGACCCTTAGTATCTCCAAGGCTTGGTCTAATATCATATACCATTTATCATATACAAATCAATAGTTCAAAAATTGTGAACATGTCATTTTGATACAAAAAATAAATTCAAATAGTTAAGTACAAATATGACATTCAAAATTATATTATAAGAATTCAATTTAAGAAAAATTATTATTATTATTATGAGCACGTTTGATTTAATTGTATAAAGATGCCTACTAAGCATTTTTTCAAAGAAGCATTTTTTTCTTTCATTTTTTGTTATCTACTTGTTATGAAAATTATAAACTAAGTGATTAATTGATTTATAAATTTAATCATTTGATAAAAATATTATCAAAATAAGAAGTTTATTTTAAATATGGAATTTTAAATTACACTTTCAAGATTTTTTTCAAATTCAATTTTTTTGAACGTAGGATTTATAATTGCATTCAAATTCAGATTAATACACACAATTTTGAGTGAAAAAATTGATGATAATATATATATAGCGAAGTATATAAGTGAAACACTGAAAGAATAAATTGTTGAGATAGACCTTCAAATAAACGTATGCCACAATCTCTTTCTCATAGCTATGTATTGTGATGATGATAGGAATTTTAACTCCGAAATTACACTAGAACTATCACTATTGGCAATAGTGACGTACTGTTCTTATTGAGCAGATTTACACGATAAAAAACTAATGGTTTTGGAATTTTAGGTTTCTAGTGAGAGTATGTCACTCATAAGATGTGAGACTATTGGGAGGTTTAACTCTGTAGTATCATTAGACCAAAACAACATACTGTCATTCACGTCGTCTAGAATTGGCTCAGTTTTTTTCAATTTTTTTGTCATGACTTAAACTTCTTAATACAATACAATGCCTTGTTTTTCAGGTCTATAATCAAAATTTGACTTATCATAATTATGAAACGATGTTCAGTACAAAAGAATTTTTTTTATTAATTTCTGTTTGGACTATGCGATATGGACTCAGTGACTGATAAGTTTTGTTGTGCATTGTTGAAGTACCATCCAACAAAATCGGGAGGTTCACCAACTGGGCTTCAGTTATATGAACGGAAGGTAGTACACCAGTTGCTTGAAATTGGGATAGCCCATAAGGACTTATTTGGTAAAACGCAGGTGCAAGGGTGCATACTCTTAAGGAATCTAGACAAAGGGAGCTGCTTCGCCGCATATTTCGGACTAAGTGAACGTGATTGCATACAAATATTCCACACATGGGTGTTTGTAATATTTTCACCCACCTATACCACTTATTTTAAGCTGACGCTTAAATGTGCTAATTAAGAATGATAATCAAGATATCAGTTTCCATATTATGGATTGCTTATTAACCCTTATTAACTCAAATTCATGTCTTTTGTCAAATAATAGTTGTAAACCTGGCAGAACAGGATCCTCATGTTCTTGTAAGGCCAGGAAAAGATTCCAGCGTAAGAAAACTCCTTGAGATTTGTTTCTATTGAAAGAATCAAACGCTCATTTCATCGGCTTTTGAGTGATTACGATCCGGTCATATCTTGACGGCAGACCATTGTCAAGTGATGGGAGACTATTGGACTTCAAAGAATCCACTGATTAAGAACAAGATAAAGTAGCCACAGCTAGAAGGCGGTGATGAAGTTGCAACCGAAGCCTAGAATGTACAATGCTTTGAACGATGCGCAAACGGAGGATAATACGCTCACCGTATGATCGAAGACATTCCATTATTGGATAGAACTTCCATGCGAGCACCAATCAAGCTTGACTGAGTTAGTAAGATTTTTGAGGGAAAACGATTTCAATGCTGGAGTAGAATCAAAGAAGTCAGAAATCAATTGTCATACGTCTGTTCTAGCATGTTACACTGCATCGGTGACTGACGGCATGACTCATACTCCCATTTGATTCACACTGTGCGTGAGGAGAAGTGCAGGTGGAATCCTCTTGCGTGTTCTTCTGTTTCATTAATGTTGACGGATAAAGGTACTATAACTGTCTGAGGAGGTCGAGTGCACATGCATCATAGAAGGAACATGAATTGGATGAGGCAATGATCGAAGATAAAGTCTTGACGTTGGAGCAATATGAATCGAGAAGCAGCATATTTACTTGCTGGGATGGAGGTTTAGAACTTACGAGTGGCTATGTTCGGGAGGTTTTAGCAAATTCTCCAGAGAGTAGCGAAGGCCGAACATGGTTGACAAGTACGAATCTGGTAGTGGAACTGACGATGATCATCCTGCGGAGATTTTCCATAAACAGCCGCTACAAGCGCAAGGTGCTCGTGGACCTGTTGGAAAGAGATCTGCAAGGGGAAGAACTTCTGAGCCTCTCCCAGTCATGGAAGATACAGACCTAGCAATGCTTGAACTGGAAGCGTATACTGCAGTGCTCCGGGCTTTTGGAGCTCAACCAACAGCTCTCACCTGGTCAAAGGAGAGGATTATGTGCGATCTGAGGAAGGAACTCAGAATTTCGGAGGAACAGCATCGACAGCTCGCAAAAGAGCTAGAAGCCCGGCAATTGCAAGGGTCGTTGGATATTTCTCCATCAGCTACAATATCTGATATGCACCTTGCCATCAATTCGCTTCGTCCTGCCTCAAGCACAGGTATCCCTCACCTTCGGACGAAGTCCAACATTTCGCATGTGCTTGGACCTCAAGCCTCTGATGTTGTGGCTCCTCACCAAAAGCTGCTGTCACAACCTTCACTGGAAACTGCACGCTCACAAACGGGAGGCCGAGGCAAAAATCTTCGACTTATGACGCCACCAAGCAATCTGCAAAGACGATGTTCTCTCTCGAGCGGCAATCCGACCACACGATTGATGTCAGGTGGAACCTCCTCCTCAAAATCGCATCTCAAGTTGGAAGACCGAAACGAAGGTCCAAATCTTCAATTGTGGCAAAACTTTCAAAAGGTCTCAACTCATTTCAAAGGACCCGACAAACCTTCCATGGGCCAAAAGGTCCAAAGGTGGTGGCCAGACGAGAAGAAGTTCTACGACGCTGTAATCGTGGAGTATGATGAAGAGTCAGGGAAGCATGCACTCGCTTACGACATGAGAACTCCTCAACAAAGCATTGAGTGGGTGGATCTCAAGGCCATACCCAGATTTGTGAGATATGTTGAAGAACCGCCAGTATCCATCCTCGGCGTAAACCTAAAATCTCCCATACCGCGTGGCCGTGGAAGAGGCAGAACGAAGGTGATTTCTGGTCATGGAAGGGCCAAATGGTTAATGAGAACTCCTGCCAGTGGACTTGGAATTGGAAGAGAGGATTCATTATCAGAAGGTAACGCCAGGAAGAAGGATGCAACGGTCGATATAAATGTCAGAAAGGGTCGAGTAATTGCAACCGAGGGCTCTCCACATGGTGAACCTGCCGGTGAAGCAGTTACGGTGCAAGTCCCAATTACTGATGATCTTTTCGAAGAAGCTGCAAGTCTGGACGAAATTGTGGATCCGGAGAGATTGGCATTCATGAAGCAGAAAGTGAACAAAATCACAAAAGCTCTTAGAACCGCGTTGCGTGATCTTGGGGAGTCTTCCTCCGAGGACGAAGATCATCCCGACAGACAGGAAGAAGCCTATACAGAAGACAACTGACAGAGTCAGCAATTTCGACCACTGAATAGCTTTATCAAAAACTGTTTCCACCGTTACAGAAAGCAGAAGTCATCCATTTTTTGTGCTCGGGGAGACATGCAGCTCACCAAGATATCAGAGTGGATTATTCATGTTGCAAAATCACAGACATCCATGAGAGTGAAGTCCCCCATGAAAAGCGTGATTCGTTCTAGAGCTAGCAGCTCTGCCAGCTTGAGTAGTCAAAAAATCGGATGTATGTGTACAGGACTAATCAAGGGCAAGCCCGCCCTTGAAGTGAGAATTCGGTTATATTTAAATAATCCCTTACACACTCCAGCACGTAACATGCATATTTTCTCATAGAGTGAAATTCAGCGTCCACAGTCGACAGTGTTATGTAATTGAAAGTGACATTTTTGATAGGTCTGGAATCTGATTGCTCTTACTGTCGAGTCAGATGACCGATCTAAAGGTTGTGTATAAAGATATTCTCATTTGCTAAGTCTTTACTCTTGTAAATTGGAGGATCTTGTTTGGTGTCGAGCTTAAGTTCTGTAATGTGCTCGATGCAAACTTAGGTTAGTTCAATCTATCATTGGGAATTTCAAGCTAGAAAAAGTGAGGTTCTTCATTTCTATATGAGAATCTTTCTTCATTTGTAGCTGAGCTTGATCTCAAAGCTCTCAACAGCATTTTAGTGGTTTGAGCTTATTGATTCAATGAATATAGAAGTGCCTATCTTCAGTAGTAATTCATTTTTGGATTTGGACATGACTTTGTACGGGTTTGGGCATATCCAATCCAATGCAGTTTGCTTTTATATGACTCATGTCTGAAAAGAAAATATGCTTGAACTCAAATGAAAAGAAGAATGCTTTTCGTCGGTTTCAAAGGTTGAAGAGAACACTATATTGGTGACCACTCACTTTCGTAGATTTTCAGAAAGAATAGGTATTATAAATACCACTTCTTCTAGTAATTTGTTTGGAGAACCGACTGTAAAAGAGTTAATATTTCTTTCGACAAAGAATCTTGAAATCTTAAGAAGAGATTTCAGAAGGTTCTCTTGACGCTCTTATTCAGAGATGGCTCCGCAAAGGACATCTTCATTCCAAGATTGAAAAACACTTAAATGAAAGGGAGAGAAGTGATGCCTTTTGAAAATCTTCATGGAAGATTATAATGTTCAAAAACCGTATCTCTCTGGATTTAAAACGCTGATTTTTCAATAGAACCATTTGATCATGGTGATAATTTTTCATACAAATGCTCATAAATGTCCTAGCAATACTGACAAAGCTCTGATGCTTGCAAAAACTGGCCTCATATTATAATGAAGATATTAGAAAAAACACAGTCATTTGATTCAAATCTTCGGACTTAAAAAAACATTTGTCTGAAGTTGTCAAGTAGTCTAAATCTTTTGTTTTATTTATCTTCCAATTTTGGACTTGTCAAAGTTTTTTTTTAATATCCTAGCGAAGAGTAAACGCTGATCACATCATTTGAGAAAGCAATACAAGAGTACCAAAGCTGCAATCAAAGTCATAGGTGCTGGGACATATCTTTACAATTGTACATGCAAACTTTTGGAAGTTCTCATTTTAGAATCTACAAAATAGATTATTCAGAATAGTGTCTATATATGAACGAGCAGAGCTTCACGTCAAACAGTACTTCTTTATCAGTGAAGGATGGCATTTGATCCAGATGATGCGGCATCGATAGTGCATTTTAAAAATTGCTGCAGATATTTTTCGTTAAAGAGTCCACAAAAAAGTAACTACTCTGATTTTAGATCTTTGAGCGAAAGCTTGTCCAGTAAATTGTAAGAAGAGTGAAATTCTAGAATCTTCCAGAGGGTGATGGGTTATTGGCAATGCCAACGATCACAAACTATAAGAGTATGTGGGTCTACATGCCAGTCGCGACAATAGTTTCCAGAATAACGCGCATGATCAGTGGTTTGTCTTTCTGCCGCCGTGTAAGCTTTTGAAAACCAGCAAGCATGAAACTGACCGCGCGAAATCACATCAATTACAACAGAAAACTGCGGGCATGCCTCCGAATTAGTCTTGTCAAAGTTGCAGATCAGGTATCTCTGCTGGTGTTTTTCTATAAAACTGATTTGTCTTTCTGCCGCCGTGTAAGCTTTTGAAAACCAGCAAGCATGAAACTGACCGCGCGAAATCACATCAATTACAACAGAAAACTGCGGGCATGCCTCCGAATTAGTCATGTCAAAGTTGCAGATCAGGTATCTCTGCTGGTGTTTTTCTATAAAAGTGATTTGTCTTTCTGCCGCCGTGTAAGCTTTTGAAAACCAGCAAGCATGAAACTGACCGCGCGAAATCACATCAATTACAACAGAAAACTGCGGGCATGCCTCCGAATTAGTCATGTCAAAGTTGCAGATCAGGTATCTCTGCTCGTGTTTTTCTATAAAAGTGATTTGTCTTTCTGCAGCCGTGTAAGCTTTTGAAAATCAGTAAGCATGAAACTGACCGCGCGAAATCACATCAATTACAAGAGACAACTGCGGGCATGCCTGCGATTTAGTCTTGTCAAAGTCGCAGATCAGGTATCTCTGCTCGTGTTTTTCTATAAAAGTGGATTGTATTTTTCCGTTTGCACGTAGGTCAGAGCTATAAATATTAAATTCATATACTAGTGTGTGACAGCAGCCATAAGAGGAAGACACTTCAAAGTATTGATTTTCTGAGGCAAGGATCAAATCTAGCTAGGTACAGAAATGACTTGAATTTGATTACACTATGTTTCACGTATGTATTCTCTGAATGTTTGGTGAATGAAACGGACTTTCCAGTTTGTGGATATAGAATGCCAGATTTGTGTTTTCATTGACATGATTAAAGACTTGAATCTGATGCATACATGCACATTTTGTTACGGTAATTTTCTCTCTCAATTGTTTCTCTCTCTCTCTCACCCAAACCCTAAATTAGATAACTTATTTCATCAACATTTTCAAACTTAGATTATTCATGAATATCATAAAGTGATATAGTAAGGGTTAAACATCATGTTTATAGTTCTTGCTTTGCATGGATACCTAGAAAAATTAATATTAGATTATTTTGAGATATGACATGTCCAGTCCTATGTAGGTTAGGCATTCTAAAAATAGATGCATAGGATATCTAATCTCAAATATCGGGAATAACTAATATTCAAATTTGTGTCATTGCTGTCGCATACAGAGTTGTATAGCATTTGATCATGACTGCAGATTGATGCAAAACATCCAAAAACGACCACAAAGAAGACTAAATGCAAGTACCATATGCACAAAATTATTGTGTTCATCTCAAAAATTAGCACTCACTATGTTGGAAAAAGTATCATGCACTCTCTAAAAAAAGTATACTGCTTTACTTTGACATTGAAGTCACATTTGGATCAAGACACAGACCATCTAACTTACACCATCGACAAGGTCATAATTGAAATAATATTATGGGATCCCGAAGATGTTGAAGGTCAAACTTATGAGAATGCAATGTGCATGTTCACGATGTATATTTATACGGTTAATCACTTAACTATTAAGTGATTATCAAGACTCCAATGGCATACCACCTTGCAATTAAGTAGGTTGTCATTGGTATTAGTCTCTGGCAGAATACATTGGGTTTTCTGAAAATAAAGTAAGTTGCAATCATCTCCAAGTTTAATGGAATGAATGATCTGAAAATCGCTACATTTGTACGCGTCCAATGCAGTGTCAATATCCAAATCATTGCTAACATTCTATGCATGATGTGAGCTTTCTAAATTGAAATTGATGCCTCAACTTGCATGGATACCTCGTACATAGATATTCGTGTTTGTTTTGTTTTGCAACGTCAGCTTTATAATTTGTATCTCATATTAATTCTGTTTTACGAATTTCATACTAGTTTGTCATAGTTTGAATTCTCTGTAGAGAAATTTATTGATTGATGCATCATCTGACTGAGCTCTCAACATGATTGGTCATGTTGCTAGTGTTATCACACGCCTACAACAGTGTTATCTAGAAGAGTTTCTTCATGTGTGGTGTTCCTTTCATTAATTTAACATTCCGCTACATGAGGCATACATGAAATACAATGGGAGTGCATGGTATACAACCCTGGTATTCATGATCTCGCAATTGCGTTTACAACAGACACTTATAATGATATAAGAGGAATACCTAACCAATATGATGATCGTCCATAGAATGAATTTGGATTCTTGGAGAAGTTAAAGATTAAGTAGCTATGGTGCTTCCGAATCTGTCACATCGTTTTAGAAATCCGAAAGTAATTTTCATTCCTAGGATGATCGGCTCCATTGATCCCAATGGGGGGAGAGAGATGGATGAAAATAAGCCAGCGTGATAGTGTAATTTATAGAATGTGTGTTTACTCTATTGATCTCTTAAACATAAGATACGTTTTTATATCAGAATTCAATGCAGTTCAGTATGCTTGTCAACTTAAATATTAAGTTAGTTTCACTTCTGCATCTCAGTTTCTTTTCTATCACTCTATTTAACTAGATGCTAATTCTTGAGAAATTTACTCCGGCTTCAAAAGATGATCTTTCATGTAGATTTTGACATGGTTCTTCCGATACATTTGTACCTGGTTGGTATGCTGTGTCTGTCACCGGCATACTTCCCGAGGACACGCAAATAATGTTCACTAATGTATGGACTTTTCCAAAGATAATCATACAATTCTCATATCAGGACAAGAGCTCGTTCGAAGTTCAAGCCGTTAGTTTTGCGGAGATAAACACACTGCAACTAAGTTAGAATGATTCTATGTCCGTTGTATGCATCCTCTTGCGGTTCTCGGAGCACTGTCATTAAGGCCCTCCCGAAGATTAAATTCATGTTGCCTGGAAATCAGATGAATGTGGTAAACCGCCTTGATTTCAAAGATAGAGTTAACCCTGATCATGTACATTATGCAGAGGGTATGCCAAGAACACAAAACTACCTAAATTTGCCGACGCTGACCTTTCTA